TGTTTGATATAATTTATCAGTTAAAATGTATATGAGCCTGTTGTTGTCATATAGGTAGGTTTTCAAGCTAGGAATATACTTTCTTTAATAGGTGCTATTTAAATTTTATATTTCTTCCAGAGTTAGTTTCATTAATTTACCTTCCAAGGTACTTCATAGAAGTTGTCAAATTTATTTCAAAAAAGATTTTTGTAATATGCTTTCTATATCCTTTTAAATTCTGTTAAATGTATAGTAATGTCCTCTAAATCTTGATACTGTAATTTAAAATGTATAATTAATACTGTGTAATAGGAAGAAAAGGTCTAAAGGAGTAGGGGAAGTGGGATGGGTAGGGGAAAGGAAAGAAGGGAAAAGAAAAAATATGAGAAAAGGAAAAAAAAAGGAAACAAATTCTTTGTAAATACAGAAGAGTGGAGGGAATGAAGGGAGGGCAGGGGAAGGGGAAAAAAAATAAGAACCAAGATACTTCACGTAATGGTACAAGATCCAAATGATGAATGTAACTGTATTTTATACCTAAAATGTACCAATAAACTTGGTGAAAAAAATAAAAGAGATGACAAGAAATTCAAAGAGAGATGATTATTAGACAAGAGGAGGACAAGACGGAGGGGGCAGAGGAATGTAAAGAAGGATAAAAGGGGGCATTAATAGAGTCAAAATATATACATTGAACCCCTCAAAACCATATGAAATTAGGGGGCAGAGGGAAGGGAAGGGGTGAAGGGAGGAAATCATTAAATGTTATGTGCTCGTACAAATTTGCTGAAATGAAACTAATTTGTATACCTAATGCGCACTCATAAAACGTATGGGGGGAAAAGTTTGCAGGTATAGCTCAGAGGTAGAGCCCTTCTGAGTTCAATCCCTAGTACCGACACCAAAAATAAAAATTTTGTTTACAAAGTTCTTCCACTCCAAGTAGCTAGAGGCTATTGTATTAAGGAGCAAGTTCACAGCCCTTTCTTTTAACCACCACACTTCATGCCCTGGCATAGAATGTCTCTTATTATTTAGATCTGGAATGGCCCCCCCTAAAGTCTCATGCATTTAGTGGTTGGGCTTTTGGAGGGGATGGGATCATGGTGGTGCTGTACTCATCAGTGGATTCAGCCACTGCAGAGTTCAGAACTGAACGTGCTGTTACAAGGTGGAGATGGATTGGAAGAGGTGGGTCACGAAGTATGACCTTCAAGGGTATGTCTTCCTTTCCAGATCCTTCTCTTTGTTTCCTGGCCACCATGATGCCAGCAGCTCTTCTCCAACAACCCTTCCACCATGCCCTTCCTGCCTTGGAGCCAGCTATGGACTGAATTCTCTAAAACCGAGTCAAAATAAACCTCTCCTCCTGCAAGTTGTGGGTTCAGAAATTTTGCCTCAGCAAGGAGAAAGTGACTAAGACAATGTTTATGGAGGTAACAAGAGAATCACTCTTCATATAATGAATGTGGAGAAATAACATAAAGATACACATTTGTCACTTTGTGCCTAAGTAGGATTATTTCCTGGACCACCAGAGGATACCAAAATCAATGGATACTGAGGTCCCTTATATAAAATGGCACAGTATTTGCGTAAAACCTACAGATGTCCTCCCATGATTCCTAATCAATGCATTTGGTATGTAATTAGTTTCTAATTTGGTATTATTGTTTATTGTTAGATTGCCACTTTTGATACTTTTCATTCAGGGAGAGGGTTCTTTCTCCTGCATTTCCAGTGATTGAACCCAGGATCTCTCAAGTTAGGCAAGTGCTGAATGACTGAGCTACATCTCCAGCCCTTCTCAGAATATTTTTGATCTGTATTTGGTTGTATCTGTGGATATGGAGCCCACAGATGCAGAGGTTTACTGTAGTTTTTCTTATGCTCTCTGGAATATGGGACCTTCCCTCTTGTCTCTCCAATTTCACTTGATGAAAAGGTTCACTAGAGGTGGCTATTGCATCTTCTCCTAAACCGTGTTCCAAGAAGAAAGGGCCATGCAGGTGTGAGGATAAAGGCAACTGGGTGGTGAGACTCAGCCTGCAGGAGACAGGAAGGAGCGGCAGGGACTATGATGAAGACTCTGATGAAGAAGTCTTGCCCCATTAAAGGGGCAGCTGCTGCTTGGCTTTGCTGTGATAGGACGTGGGCTGCTGAACTTCAAACTTCTCACTGTTTTTTATTTTAGATTTTTGAGACAGGATCTCACTATGTAACCCAGACTCATCTCAAACTTGTGATCCCCCTGCCTTAGCATCCGGAGTGCGGGAATTACAGGTCTGCACCGCCACACCTAGCTTCCAGCTATAGAGTTGATGGAAACACAGGGAGACACACCCTGCTCGTCTCTTTCTGTCCTCCCCTCTCTTCTATTTTCCTTTCTCCCCTCTGTCTGTGTCCCCCATTCTCTCTTCTCTTCCTCCTTTCTCTTCTCCCCCTCTCTCTTTCTCCTTTCATTTTCTCTTTCCCTTTCTTCTTTATCTTTTTCCTTTGATATATCTAAGAATCTCAATATTTCTCTCCATCTCTCTATTTATCTGCTTCCTCCCATGTCCCCCTTTCTCCCTCCCCTTCTCTTTCTCAATCTGTCTTCAAATCTCTGTATCTGCCTCTCTTTATCTCTTTCTTCCTCTTCCTTTCTCCTTCACTCCCTCTAGGTATTTTTGTGTTTCTGATTATCCGTCTTTTCATCTCTCTCTCTTTCCCTCAATATCGGTCTCTCCTTCTTCCTCTTGATATCTGCTTTCTAGTTCTCATCCTGTTCTCTTCTCTATCTCCTTCCCTTCCTTTCTTTCCCCCTTCCTCTGGATATCTCGTTCTTAGTCTCTCTTCTTTCTCTCCTTTCTTTTTCTGTATCCCCTCAGTATTTCCCTTGGTCTCTATGTGTCTACGTCTCTCTGTCTGTCCTCTTTTCACTCCTCGCCCAATATCTCTACTTTACTCTCTTCACATCTCTTCGTTTCTCTCAATTCTCTCTCCTCCCTCCCCCCTCTCCGCCTCTCTCTCTCTC